ATTTATTTATTATACTTTTTGTCCATTTTTTTAAGAAATAGCAATCACGAGGCTAAGGTATTTACATTATAATTTAAAAATAATTGAAATGATTAGCAATTCCACAACATTTCAAAGAGTTTAATTTATTAACGACTCTTTCATGACTGAAAAGTAGGTTCTATTCGATAAATACAATTTAATAGACAATAAAACAAGCAAACAGAAGTTAACTAAGCCGTTTTAGTAACATGAACATCAGCTCAAATGCAAGATATAAATTTGAAAAAAAAAATATAGGGAAATCAATGAATATTCGTAACGGTTTTTGTAATCTCCAGAACTAGTCTGTAACAGTAAATCAGCTAGGTAGAATTCAGCCGCTATCCTTTCCCTTCCTGAATATCTCCTTTCTCTATATACAACCCTACAGTTGTATACACTACCACACACAGATGAGAGGATCTAAGTGGAGGGGGAAATCACAAGTGGACGTATAGGTCGGTGTGGTAACTCACAACGCAGCGGAAAAGAAATCACTGCCTCCTCCGAGAATTAAACTTTTACTGCTCCAACAGGACTAATGAGGAGAGCATGCACACGTAAGCTTCTGCAGCTCGAATTCATGACTTCTTGGCTGTCCGGGTGCGAACGCGTCCTTCGTGAACCTCGTCGCTACCCTGAGGAAGCCTGCGCCACGACAGGCGAAACGTCGGCCTCTCATCCAAGCAGTCATGAGGCGCCAGCCAGCCAGCCAATAAGCGAGGGAGAAAACAACGGGGGCTCACCTGCGGCGGGAAGTGTTCGGGCGCCGAGTCCAGCGCCTCCTGGTAGGCGGCCATGGCCTCCTGGTGCAGGCCCTGCTCGGCGTACAGGCGGCCAAGGTGCAGCAGCGCGGAGAGGCGGGCGGCCTCGTGCGCCAGCGGGTCCTTGAGGCCCGCGCCGTCCAGCTGCGAGCAGCGCCGGTACGCCGCCAGCGCCTCGGCGCAGCGCCCCCGCCGCTCCAGCAGCCGCCCCAGGTTCAGGTGCGCCACTGCAACACGCACCGCCGTGCGCGCGCTCAGCACACGCTCCGCGTAGCGCGCCATTTCGCGCACCAATTTGCGCCGCGAAGCGCAAGTTGGCGCTGCGAAATGTTTGGGTCGGGCGTGCATTCTCAGTGTGTGTGTGTCGCGCTCCTTGTATTCTGCACCTCTGGTGGTCTATGGATATTACTCGTGATAAATTTTTTGAAGTGTTCTTTGTTCAGCTAATATTTACTTTCTCGCTTCTTCGCATTTACTATCTAGTAAGGCACGAATGTGCGACAAAAAAGGGGATTTTTTGATTCAAAAACTCGTATTGTTGGGGCCTGGTATCGAAAAATGGATAAATCGTATTCGTACATGTAGTCAATTACATCTAAAACGTTGTGTGCTCAGAATGTCATAGGTTTTATATTTTCGTGATTTCGAAAAATTGGATTAAACATATTTTGTATGTCATTCCGTGGTCAAATCTGGCGGTTAAATAGTTCAGACAATTTCCTAAAAAAATAATATTCCCGATATATAGGAATGAAGTCCAGGTCCTGAAATTTTGAAACGATTAATTACGTTTTCAAGGTTACTTAACATTTTCAAAATTTGCTCTCAAACGAACGTGTTCCGCCCCGTCTACAAAGAAACTGATTACGGTCGCAAATTCCCCTGATGTACGTGCAAAACAGCTCAGGCGTACGCTGTGCGGCGTGAAAGTTTACGTGCGTTCGCGTTCCATCAGCACGACAGCACTCCAGGAATTCAGAGGACATGCGTGACATTTGGCGCGAGTTTTTGGAAGTGTTGACTGGCTTTAGATAGCACGTCATTCGGGCAACACACGGCCTCGACGACGACGCAATAGAGGACGCTCAACTTCAAAACAACCCTCAACGTTACTCTGACTATGGAAACTACAAGATAAAGCGAGTCAGTGAGGATCAGCTCGACTCCTCATCCAAAAGATCCAACAACAGTGCATTACCTGTAATGTAAGTACTAGCAATTGGTTTCATGATCTGTCCAATCGTTGAAGAGTCCGCCGCTCTCGTTGACGCATCTAAGACACTGACAGTTGTTTAAAATTAGTTCGAAAAATTAAACTAATAGTACCTAGAAATTAAATTTGTTCAACAAATTGTCAAATTATTTGAATTGTAGAATTAAATGACAACAGAATAAAAGTGAATTAACCATACAAGATTTTAGAGCCTTAACAGATGCATTAAAAGTAACTAAAACTCGATTTCAGACATACTCAAATCCTCCATCTAAAAAAATAAATATAAAAAATTAAAAATATCACTAGTAATCTAAAAATTGTATTTGTCCATATCTGAGAACAAAATTAAACACAAATTATTCAGAAATATGCAACAGTAATGCGCGACATACGGCTTCTCGGCAAGAACATAAAACCAATTTCTTAAGTAGAAGCAGAATTTTCAAATACAGAAAATATCAACAAAATCTTTAATGAAAAATACTTGTGCAACTCGGTTGTAAAATTTGAAATGAGCCGAAAACACAAGGCACCGATTTAGAGTTCAATATGTCAGGACTTAAGACAGAAGGGCAATTGCCGGAAAATTTTCGTCTGTGCTATATGAGTCTCAAATCGTTTAACCGCTAGTTGTAAGTAACAGTCTAATAGCTCTGTGTAAACTGAAAATTCTCTAATAACTCTATAATCACAGAGCGGACTCTCTCAAGAGTACCAGTGATTATTACAATAAAGTTTGTTCTACGAAGAAAGATTGAACCTCCCTCCCCAGAATGAACCCTCTCCTAATCCAAGCGCAATTTCATCATCACAAATTCATTTTTCACTATGACTCACAACTAATGAAATTCAATAATTTAACCACAAACCGTCAACAACAATCGTCGCTCATCAAAACTACCCTAACTTCACAACCCACTACGTAACATTCAAAACTACATTACTAACCCCACTGAAACATTAATTTTATAGACGGGATTCTAGAAAAAAAACTACTTTCAAAGTGTCCTCGATTCTGATACAAATGTTCATAGACAAGTTCAAAGATACTCTGTTAACTTCTTTAAATGCGGGTTTGCGCACCTCACATATTTTTCTTTCCTACATTGGAGACACTCAAGAGTACAGACTCAAAAGTGGGTGCTAGCCTTATATGTTATAGTGTTTCACTCTGCAAAACCTTTCTCAAGTATCGCAGGGATTTCCAAACGTGCTAACCGACAGCATAGACGGTTGTCTCCACTGCAATATAAGAATAATATAAACCATAGTACATTTCCCATTGGTTCATCTAACAGGCACTCGGGACTTGCCTCATGCATCGAGAAAACTCAGTGAGAGAGAGAATTAAAATTGGCAGAAAAATATTTTCAACTAATTGCTAATTAAAATAAAAAACCTTTTAGGTCCATCTTACACGGCTTCTGAAACTCCATCATTAAGTAGGGTACTGTTGATTACAGATACTGTTATGTTCGTAGGAACTAAGTAGTTACTTTACCCTCAGAAATTATACCCCCTCGCATTCCCCCAACTGATTATCCCTGATAATCCCTGATCATTCACAATCTCTGGAAACACCTACACTCTGTCATGCTGCTTTGTTAATGTACTCAGGAGCCCCCAGCTGGGTCAGTGAACTGATGCGTTAACCATGATTAATAGTCCATTTATTGATTTTCTAGATTGGAGATTTAAAAACATGACTGACAATTACCTTACAAACTAACTTTTGAAATATATTGTTTTTGATTTGTGGAAAATAATATATTATTTTCTTCCAATATATCTGCGGTAATATTAACAATGTTCAAAGTAATTTCAAATCTATACTATTTGATAATGTTATGTTAATTTTATTTCAGCAACTTTTGTCGAATTTAAAAGTTGTGAAAATTACCTTCTTAAACGAATTGATCAATGATTCACTCAAGGGGGTAAATTCAATTATTTGGGCTGAAAAATGCGTTTTTCAAAAAACAAATGTACATTTATCTCATGCACATGAAAGTATAACTCAATATTTGCATTTATACCTTTGCATTTATATCTGCATGGAAACCTTTATTTTTTCATAACTGAAATCCATAACGCTCTACGCAGCCCTTCCATTTCCCATTTCATCTAAGAACTCATTTACAAATTGGTTGCAAGGATTACTTTAGAGCAAATGCATAAATTTCTCTCTGTATGTCAGGAATCAATTTCTCCTACATGCACCAAATACATTGATTTAGCTATAACATTTTTTGTGTATGTTTCTTTTGTAATTGAAAAAACAACAACTGTAATTCATGATATCCACTAAATTATGTAGGATTAATATGTTTAATAATTTACTGGCTAAAGGACAATCCTGATTGAAATTTAACCTCATAATTAAGAAAACTGAAAATAATATTACGGTTGGCAACATTTTCTGAAAGTCTGGGTAAAAATGACGATATTTCCGTTATTTGTCCATTCAAAATACAATTTTTCATTAACGGAGAAATATTTAAAGGCACACAAAAGTCTAAACATTAAAAAAAAATTTATGATGGCAGGTTTGAAATTTTAAATTTTCAACCAAATTTCCTTTGCTATATACACAAAATAATACAACAAACGCACAGTATCCACAAAAAAACCTTATTTAGTTCAATGCAACTGAATTTACGAAACATTTTATTCTTGTCTTGAATATTTGAATATCAGGTAAAGGAAATAACTTTCTGTAGAAAACTGTACTTCAAAGGTTTCGGGACACCCACTGTTATCTTTCAACAATGTCCCTTAATATAAAGCCGCGTCTGTTATCTAAAGCTGCGTACACAGCAAAATCCTCTTACCTGAACATATCAATTCATTAGCGCCTGAACGAAAAAAGGGTGCAACAACAAGGTCCGAGGGGGGTTAGGTAGCGCTTGTTCTTCGTATCAGGGCCAACACGAGTCGCGCCCTTCAGTGCCAGCCTCGTCGCGGGCCAACGGAGATATGATAAGCTGATTGCGAGAGGATTACCAGCGGCCGCGTTCCTTGTGCGAGGGCCCTTAACAAGATCAGCAGATCGAGTTGCGTGTCTAATTACCATCGCCTTTGGCCACGCACCCTCCCTTCCTTCGGTCTGCAGCCCCCGTGGCCTGCGCCCCTGAACAGGCGATTGTCCCCGGCCCTGCCAGAGGCTTACTTTAGTGGCCGACAACACGTGATACGTTCGCCCGCCTTTTACGAAATACATTTTACACATGTGTTAATTAGACAGCGGGGGATTCTCTTCTAAAAACTTATCTTAGAAGTTTTTGACTTGGAGCCAGGTGAGAATACATAACTGCAGCGTACAAACCCATTCAAAGAAGGATCTGACAGCTGTACTAGTTATATTGTCGTCATGGAATTCATTAAATAATTTACAAAATTCAACTTTGGTATCTCAGAAAAAAAACTTTTATTCTCACTCTTCAGTATGGACATTGTTTCTGTTTGGCTGAAGTTCTGTTAAGTCATTAATTTACTAAATAATATTTTTAATTTGCGGAATAATATTTGAATTTCTGGAGTAATATCTGAAACGTCAACTGCGGGTATCCGTGAAGTATATGTTAAATTATGTTGTTGATAATGTGGTGAGTTCTAGATATCGATTATATCTTATTGTTGATGCGTAATATTTTTAATACATCGGATGAAACACTTAGAAAATTGTAGAAGGTGATTACGTGAATATGACTTGAATAGTTTTTCTGAGTTCTGTTCATGACACTGTTTCTATGTTTTCCTCATAGTACGAACAATGAACACTCACCTATTTTTCTACTACTTTGATGAATTAGTATCATTCACAATTTTTTGTTTTCCACAAGATCAACAATAATTAAGATATTCGTTTTCCACTTGCCACTTCCACATTCACTTATATGTTGGGTAGGCAGAATGCACATGTTGCGCATTCTTGATGAAAAAAATGTGTTCAGTGTAAAACGTATAACTGTCTGTGATCAACATTAGCACTTAGACCATTTTTTGGAGTTTCTCCAAAATTATTATTTTTTGATTGATACGGCCACATTCACTGCTCTGAGAATTA